TCGTGGGTCTTTGGTGTTGAAGGTGTTATTTTCCAATTAGATTTGGACAGAATCCTAAAACCAGTAAAGGTATCAATCGAAAAAAGGGCTGAATAGTGCCAGTAACAAAAATCAGAAACAAACCTTTTGCCCGCTTTTCCATGTTACATTTCAACGGCCGAAGGTTGGGAGCAACTTTAGTGGGGTATTTCTTTAAGCAGGTTCAGCCGACCACTTTTGTCCATCAAGTCGACAGAAGCAGATGGTGCTCAGGTGATCAACAACTGAAAGAATCAGGTGGTCCGGCCAGTAAAGGCCCAATTTACATGTGTTGACCGTTGCTGCTCCAGCTCAAAGAACGGTCCTTCAGCGTGCGCATCAGCCCCGCGTCCATTTCTTCGAGGGTGGCCATCACGTTTTGAGCACCTAAAAATTACAAGTTCAGAGCCAGGCCGGTGAGAGCACCCTGATTCATCCCGTCGATCACTTTCGGCACCGTCGTTTTGACTTGCTGGTTCAGGGCATCAAAGTCCCGGAATCAGGCGTTCATCTCCTCGACCAGTTTTGCGCCGCTTTTCGCCCGCCTCATAATCCATCAGCTTGTCGTTGCGGCCCGGCGATTAGTCGCCCAGGGATCACGCGAATCGCCTTCAGGCAATCGTCTTTCACCCTAAAAAATGAGGATGAAAAATGACGAAAAATAGGCAAATGATCGTAAATCCGTTGGAAGAGCATACTTGTAGTTGGTCTCCTTAACAAATTCTTGCAGTATCTCAAAGAATGGCTTCAGCTGTTGCATAGCCGCCTTCTCCGGCATCCGCGATGCATCTGAAAGAACATTACACCCCGAAAAAAGGCCGACAAACTTGGTGCGACGATGAGGACCTCGATTTGGCGCTTCATGTCGTGCTGCAGCTTCTTTTGGTAGATGACCAGTTGGTAGTTGAAGCGGACGAGTCGACGTTCGCATTGGTCGAGTTCGGAGACCATTTGCTCGAAATCGGGGTCACGTGTCTAAGGGGATTGAATCCAGGAAGCCTACGCACCAAATGCAAAATGCCGATGGCGCTGCCCATCCGATACTTGAAGCGGTTGCTCTTCTTGACGACCGAGTGCACCGAGAAGGCGCGACAACTTTTGGGTCCAGTGTCGCGCTCTGCTCTTCGCTATACTTGCGCGCTGAAATGGGGGATGTAGATGGGGAAAGTTCTAGTTTTTTCGGACATTTGCGCGCGAATGGGCGCCCGGAAACTGGGATTTTGTGTTAACGCAAATTATAATAGCAACAAAAACGGGCAACAAATGTATATCGTCGGTACGACCCAAACGAGCATTTCCTGTAGTACGCGTCGAACCTCTGCGGGTGGTAGCGCTGTTGGTGATTGGAATATTTGGGAGTACAACGTTCAGGGAATTTGTAAAAAGACAAGTGTTCACGCATCGAACACGATTGGGGCGAAATTCCAAAAGAAATTTTTGAATTATCCGCCTAGCCAGATGTTTGCTTGCTTTTTTTGAGAGAATTAAAGCGTTTTAAAAGTTTTGAAGTTTTGGGGAGAATCAAGTCTGAAAAACAAGTAAAGTTCAGAATTTCGCCCAGTGAAGTGCAGTCAATCCGGCCATAAACGTGAAAAGGCATGCACTTACATAGAAGAACCTCGGCCTGGGGCGAGTCGACGGTTTGGAACACTGAAAAAGCCAAAATACAACCCAGAAAACGGGATCCGTGGCGCGTTATCCCAGGGAAACCAACCAAAAGAAAACGGATTAGCAATTGACAGCGGGAACCTACGGTGGCACTTCAGTATGGTACCAAACGCCCCCAGAGCTCCATATCGCGGTCTTCGCAAAAAGCCATGCCTTACAACCAAAAAAAATTGAGCGCAGAATTGGAAGACAGCAATTCGAAGTTCTCTGTAAAACTACAGGCTTTCTGAGTGTGGTTCTTTCGCATTAATGGGGAGCAGGGAGGGGGAGCAACTTTTTTCTAACGTAAGGATTCAATTTTTAACACAAATAGAGAAGCGTTCTAAACTGTTTTTACTATTCTTATCCGTAAAAAGTTTACAATTTTCGTTAAAAAATAGAAAAAAAATGCTTTTTTCGACCAACTTGCAGTTTTTTAATCGTAGGTTTTTCCCTTTGATACAGTGCGAAAAACCCTGAATACAACCGCCGCTCGAGATAAAGCCCTTTCGATTAACTATCTTCCAAGTTCCGCTAAATACTAGCATTTCCTGCGTGTCATCTACTTGCCACAATTCGTGTCTACCTGCCGTAAACCGTGGGAATGGCCATGCATGTCAGGGATTCGTGCACAAACCGCACCATTAGTAGATGGACACTTGCATTCATGGGGTTTAGCGGGGAGAACGGGCGCAAAACCAAGATGCTCACCAATACGTCACAACTTACAAATGTGGGAACTCAACTAAGAAAAGATTTTGGCGATCAGTAGATACAAACTGAGGTAACTTTGGTAATTTTGGCTAATTCTCCTGAAAAGCACACCATTCCCGAATCCCTCACTTCACTAGGGAAGGCCAAAACCGGCCTGTATGAGGAACCGGTTCAAAAATTTTAAAAATAGAAAGCCGAATTTATCCGAGGTTTTAGATCTTTAGCAAATTCCATAAATCAAAAAATAAATATCGTCGACCTTCTATTTTTGCCAGATTTGAGCCCGATCTGAACCCCGGTCTGTCTGACTTCTCCTGGTCAGCCCAACAGCTATTTGAACCAAGTAAGTCATTCGGCACTGACTCAATTCTTTGCGCCGCTTGCTCTCGTTCATCTTCTGCCCGAGGTTGCTCATCTGTTTGAACGCCTCCAGCAACTTGGGGTGATCGGGATGAGTTGTGCTCGTATACTAAATGACACTAGAGGAAAAATCGTGGACAAAGACACCTTGATGATCTCCGATAGGAAAAGCGGATACTTCAAAGCTCGATGGACGGGCCGGCTGACAGCAGTCGGGACGTCGAAACAAAAACTGCCTAATAAAGACGGCTGAATTGATCATCCAACCCGTACCGTATGTCCGCATCCAGCCCAACACCTCCGTCATCGCAGCTTGCAGCTTTTTGTCGGATTTCTAAAATGACGTATTAGGTCGGGCAAGATGGGAAAAAGATACATTCTCGACGACGGCGTGGATGTACTCAATGTTGCGGAAGAAGAAGCCGTAGGCATGGGTGGTCATTTTTGCATGTTCATGAAGATTTCGCCAATCTTTTGTCGTTCGACAGGCTCCTCTGAAATCAGGGTTTTTACTAGTCTATCTCAGCTCACCAAGATCCATCTTCAGCGTATCGGCCAACAACAACGACAGCTCCACCAGCTGCGGGATGCCGTTGCTCAACACGCGCTTGTACTTCTCCGACAGCTTGCTGGTCTGTGTGACGGCCTAAATTTACGTAGTAAGTAAAAAAATTGCAATTTACTTTTTCCAACGCCTGCATATCGGTGCAGAATGCATTTTCTGTTTGAATGAGCTCGTTGATGACCCTGGTTCGCTCCGCGGCGTTTGTCGTTGTAGCGTTCGTCGAGAGCGTCATCGAATTCGAGGGTGTTACTCCCTAGAAAAAGCTCACAAAGATTGAACCAGTGCGAACCGGAGCCCTTGGCGGTGTATCGGTGAAGCTGGCCCAGGCCGAGTCCTCCGGCGTGGTGGCATTATTGGCTTTTGGAGGTGGCGGCCGCATCGGCGGTGGTTTCTTCTCCTAAATTTACAAATCCAAGCGATTCAAAAAAAGCCGTGAAAAACAGGACTAAAACTGACATCCGGCTCTTTGGCCATGTCCCAGTCGTCGAATCTGGCCCAGCTCGATGAGCCGCCAGTGTGGTTGAGGCCAAAATCATTAGCTAAAATACGTTTGGTACATCGAGAAACGTGTGGCTTACAAATTTGTGAGCCAAGCGGCCGATCGAAACTTCCGGAAAATGCCGGTGGGGCGCTGGAGCCGCTCAGCGACGAGCTATTCCACTGAAAAATTTGCTTTATCTGCACGAAGATGGGCGATTTTCAATACATTTTTTGCGAATTTTCATAATGCCGAGCTTCGCCAATTTGTTTTAAAAAAATGCGGTTATTTTACATTTTTTAGCATGTGAGATCAAAAATATTGCCAGACACAATTTTCTATTATTAGGATTCAGATATATGAAATTCGGCGTTACATCGATAAATCGAGAAAATTACCGCATTGGTCGAGCTCATGGTGTCCTGCACGTTCTCCGCCATCTCCTCCACGTCATCATCAAGGTACATTTCGAGGAAGGCGATCGGAATGATGCCAACCGTGTCGGAAAGCGGCTCTCGGCATTGCGCCCATTCGTTGTCGACCTAAAAGACATATAGAAAACCGAGAGCAGACACAAACCATTCGCAACACACGGACACTGTCCCCCGCTTGGACGGTTAGCTCATCAGCTTCGCGACCCTCGAATGCATGTTTCACGGTGGCCACTCTGAAAGCGATAAATTGCGCTCTTTCGCATTATCGGGGGGGTCCCAATTTTTCCTATAGGCCCACAGATACCTAGTAATTTTATATCACTTGTTTTTGGTAAAACTTGCTCTATTTCAAGCGAAAAACTATCTAAAAAACTTGGGAAATGTTTCAAACTGGCACTTTGCTGGGAAAATAAAAAGTTTTGGAATTGTTTTCATCCAGCCATGTAAAAGTTTGGAAAAATGCTAGAAATAGAAAAAACCGGGGTCGAAAAATCCATTAATTTTTCTGAAAAATTCGATTCTACGGAAAACAGTCCACAGATAATCTGCAAGAATCATAAATTGTTTACCCGATGCCATCATCGTCTTTCGATCCTCCGTTCGGGGTGCCATTCAGTGGAGCTGATGGGAAATCGACAACGATCTAGAAAGTGACTCATGGCTTATTACGAATTCCATGCAATCAGGAAAATCCTATCTATACCTGCACATAGTTGGCCGGGAAGATTCCGGTTTGCCCGTTGACTTCACCCTCCATCCATTCCGTATCAACTCGTCGAATAAGCTTCACAATCTCGTTGGCACCAAAGGACAACTCGTTCGTGAATTCGCCTCTATAATGGACGATTTTTTTCGAGCCGGAAGGAACGCCCAGTAATTTCTCTCATCAGATTAAATTACTTACTGGAATGGATACAGCGACCTTCCGTACGGCCCAATAGTTTCGTTCATAGTATGTGTGCTTCGCGCCGACATCTAAAAGAACAGTTTTATGAAAAAAATGAGGAAATACCGTAGGTAAAGAAGGGGCGGTGCGCGGGCTTTGCACACTTTCCACATCAACGCTATGTGATACGCCAACGGGAACCTCCTGAAAAAATTTTCGCGAAAGGAAAACTATCTACCGGTAAATCCTGGACGTAACTCGCGGGAAAAATCCCTCTTCCCCAGTCTCTTCCCGGAGTCGCTCGTGATCACTCCCGACAACCAATTCGAGTCGATCTCCCTAAATCAGCATTAAAAAGGGGCTACCGCTTACTTTTCAACAGTGATCCAGCTGGTTGGCTTCAAAAGAAAGATCGCCTCCTTCCTGTCCGGCAAACGCAGCTAACGACAAGACGAGACGCTCAGAGTTTGTTCTAAATCACATCTCAATTCAAAGGAAAAAAGGCTTTAACCGACCGTAATGTTGCGCCAAGTCGATGGGCCAGCACCTTCGGACATCGCCCTTCTTGGGCGTTTCCGGGTATTTGGATTTTGTACCTGGAAAGTAACGATTTAAAAAAAATTTCGAAAGCTACCATTCATTTTCTTCGCCGGTCAACGCTACAATTTGATCCTGGGCCAAGGCGAGCCCCGACTGCGGGTCGACGAACCCGTTTGTTACCCGGGCGTACGGCATCAAGCCGTCCATCCTTTTAAGCACCTGAAAAAAGTAGATGATAAAATTTAAGTTTTGAAAAGTAAAAATAGTTGAGAACATCAAGTTTTGCCGAGATTCGCGTATTTTCCGCGGGGTTATACGGAGAAAAGCTCATAAAGGCCCGAGTGGGCAGGGATGGGCCCTAAGAAGCCCGGAGGGCCCTCCCGAAAAGCTGGCCTTTTATTACGCGGCTTTGCTGGGGAATGCAAAAGGGAAGAAGAAGAAATCGATATAAACGCGCGGAGGGGAGCCTCGGCACGGGCCACACCGAGGGCTGCCAGCAAAAAAGGGGGGCGACCGGGGGTAGCCGGCCTAAATTTTCAATTGAAAGCTTAATGATGTTCTATAGAAAAGGAGGAGGATGAAAATGGTAAGAACAGGCCCGGAGCCATCAAATGTGAACGGCAGATGGAGGGAAATTTCGATAAAGATCCCGATAGCTTTTCGTGCTTCGATTTTTGTTGAGTTTTTGAAAGTTGCTAAATGGCAGGGACACGTATAAAAATTGAACTACTGAGCATCAGGTCTTGAGATTTTAAAGGGCTGCCGACGGCATGTGTCGATCCCCATCAACAAATTGGCAAGTAGCCAACAGGGTAGAGAGCGCGCCCCGGGGAGAGGCGCAGAGACATTTTCTTTCCAGCGCGTAACCGATTGACTATGCCGTCGGCATCCCTTTAATAAATGTAGTGACTCTGATAAACAATAAATTGTGACAATATAGGCACATAAAATAAAACAGTCAAAGAGCATAAGACAAAAAGATACCAACTAAGGAATTGATAATCAGCCATTCTACAGCAACGCTAGAGCAATTTTAGCACTCTTGAGGGAGAAAAAATGCAAAAAGAATCAACGACATGGGTCCCACAATGTTTGGTTGACGGCAAAAATTGGGTTTTCGACCAAAATTCATAGTTCGACTCTCGTCTTGCTCTTTCCTTTAGTGATTTTAGTTTGCGCCAATCGATATAAACTGTAATTATCAAAGAAGAAGAAAAGGAAATCAAGAAAAGCCCTATTTTATTTTTACTACAGTTTTAGGGACATTGTCTCCACTTATTGGAGTTTTGCGCTTATCGGTAAGGGGCGCGATACCATTTCCCAACTGCTGTCGTCGGCAGCGTATTGCTAGTAAAATTTCGGCGATCGATAATAAAGTAAAGATTGACAAAAATTGAAAAATTTCAAATCACCCGGATTTGACCGGATTCTCATACTTTGCGGGTTTCCAAAGCAAAATCGGCTCGATGCCGACTTCTCGCCTTACCGACCCAAAATTCGATTTGCCGTTTTGAGGTGAAACATGCAAAAAAAGGGTTTGATTGGTCGATTTTTAGTGCGGAGACAGGCTGTCCGAGCACCAAACTAGAGACTACACCCACCCCGGCTCGGCCAAAAACAAGGCCCCGCCCAAAATTTTGTGCCGCTTTCATCACATGCCCTTTCACTCCGCCAATATATTTGTCGCGGCCGGTATTTACGGTTTTGTTGTTGATTCGCGGTATTGGCCAGTAGACGATCTCCCAAAGACCTGTCTACGTCCTTTGGCTGTGTAACATTGCCCTATCAACCTTTCCAACCGGGGGCTAAAAAGATCATTCTCTTCAAATTAGTATGATTTTTCGTTTAAATTTTTTAAGTCCGGCTTCAGAAACTAAGAATGCAATTATGCGAATACGCGTAGCTTACGAAAACAATATTTTGTTTGTTTTTATGTTAATGAAAAATCTTTTTAACGAAATCAGGGAATCAAAATATTTAGCTAGCGTTGAAGGCTTTGTAAATGAAATACAATTTTTATTTCTTACCTTTTCTACAACCTTCTCTACCAATTTTCTCCCTTCTCCTCAAGCCACCTTTTTTGCAGCTTTCCTCCCACCACGATGGGGAAGGGTCGGAACAAGAACAAAGAAGGAGATGGCGGCTTTGCCCCAAATCATGCCAACAAGCGAAAAGGTACCTTTCAAGCCAGATTTTAATTGTTTATCAAACTTTCCATCAATGCATCCCTTCAAACGCTACAAAATTTAAAAACGAAAATGTACGCCAAGCGCTTAGCTTGATTACAATATTGTGCAACCACTATGACGAAACATGCGAATTATCCCCGTTCTTTAGACAAAAATGAGGATTACGATTCGGACAGTGGTGAATCAATGTCCACCCACATAACCTTTGACGAGGATCTGCAAAGTGTTAGAGGTGATCGGGAAACCGTCGACTTATCGGGAAATTTCAGGTGACATCGATGGGGATGAAGACACATTGATTGACTCGCTCAGCGAACATATTGATAATGCCAGCCACAAGAAGTAAGTCACTTTCTGTTTCTATGTATTATGACTTTTTAGCGTTGGTATTCGTACAGCTGCGCTGAAGCATTTGCTTTTTGGCCTGACTTCTCGATATTTGAGTGAGTATCTGCTTCTTTGTAACTATTTCGTTAGGTGAATTCGTCGCAAAGTGGCAAGCCACACTGGCGGAGGTGGGGAACAAGGCGATACGCAAGTCGGATGAGGAGATTCTGCTCGGAGCGTCATTAACCGCGTTGATTACACTTCAAGCAGGTAAGTGACCTAATCTTCTCACATCTACGACCATTTAGGCGACGAGGTTGCTGAGGATATCTCCGATTCATTGGGTCAACTGCGCTTCATCGTCACTGACCCGGCAAAGAATGATGTACGATATTATTTTTTGGTAAACAATATATTTCAGGCAATCCGGGCCCATTGCGCGTTGTGCTTGGCGCTGGCAACGTATTTTGGCACGGATAGTGATGAATTGACGGCACTTGCCCTAAAGGTATGTTTTTGGCATTGGCTTGCGCAACAAAAACAGCTAGCGCTGTAGGAACAATATTTTTCTTGGTGCCTCTTTTGTGTTAATATTGCGAAATACTGAAATTGGCATACAATGTAATGGTTTTTCTAGGCGCTCCGACAAACCTGGACCGCCACAAAATCGACGGCCGTCAGTTGGCGACTCTTCGATATTTCACTGGCCAGCTGGGCGTTGCTCTTACAGGTTTGTCACCAACGGCTTTTCTCTAGTCTATTTTTGTTTAGGATGGCCCCACGGATGCCCTTACTTCCGCGATTCAGGATCAGCCGAAGATTGTCGGCTATCTCGAGGCGAACTGCACAGAAATCAGGATTGCTGGTATGATGCTTCATGGTGATTCTAACGCTTTTTTACAGCCGGTGAAGTTCTGGCGTTTTTGTACGAGTATGTCGATGATGCAAAGCCGGGCTTCCGATTCCCGAATCACAATCATGTACAAGAGGTAGGTCTAGACTATTTTGTCACCTCCTTAGTTGTTTAATCCCCAAAAATAGGTTGAAAATAATAGAAAACTGCCAAAAGATATCTTTACATTCTTGTAGATCCTGGAGACATTGTTGGCCGACAGCTCCAAGTCTAAGGCAAAACGCGACAAGAGGATACAGAAATTCAGTCTTCGGTGAGTTTGGTTGATCATTATCTATTTTTTTCTGTTAGACAAGTGCAAGTTTTCATCGATGGTGGCGAATTCCCTTCGCTGAAAGTCAAGTTCAGCACCCAGGAAAGCCTGGAACTTGATTCTTGCGCGAAGAAGCTGCTCTATGACCTATGCACTGATGTGGGTATTTGGAAAAGATACTCTTCGTTTGGTTCTTTTGCATTATCGGGGGGGGCGGAATCGAATTTTTTCTTACTGTAACCGTTTTTTGTTGACCGTGGGATTTCGATACGTGAGATAGCACATTTTGTGCAGAATTTTTCGCTGATTCCGAATCCGTTTTCAAAAGTTGCAGAACCCCTCTAGATAAAAAGTTACAGCCGGTTTTCTACCCCAAATGACCGAAAATTACAAACTTTAAATCCTTATAAAAAACTCGTGGAACATTTTGTGGGATAAAATACAGCACTCCTAGGGGTAAAAAAACGTGCTCTTTCGAATGGACTACCTCACGAACCCGTAGCTCAAAATTCATGAAAAAAAGTTTTTCGGTGGAAGAATGCCCTGGATGGCCAATTTTTGAAATTTTGTGAATTTTGAGCTACGGGTTCGTGGGTAGCCATTCGAAAGAGCACGTTTTTTTACCCCTAGGAGTGCTGTTTTTATCCCACAATGTTCCACGAGTTTTTATGGATTTAAAGTTTGTATTTTCGGTCATTTGGGGTAGAAAACCGGCTGTAACTTTTTATCTAGAGGGGTTCTGACTTTTGAAACGGATTCGGATCGCGAAAATTCTGCACAAATGTGCTATCTCACGTATCGAAATCCCACGGTCAACAAAAAACGGTTACAGTTAGGATCCGATTTTCAAATATCAATCACGGAAGTGTTTCTAATTTTTTTTACTATTTTCAATGTACAAATTTTAATTTTTAAAAATACGAAAAATCGCGTTTTTCTCCAAAATTTCGACTTAAAATTTTTTAAGTCGTTAGTTAGTTTTTTAATTGAACTAGAGTTATATTTTGGTATTACAAACTCTAATAGAATACCAGCTATTATAATACAACAATTCCGGCCCCCGATAATGCCAAAGAAACTTGATTTATTTTTGTACGAAACATTGAAATATGCTCAACTTTTAGCTTCTTCGCGGCGGGATGATGCAGCAGCTGAAAGAAAACGGACTCTTGAGAGACTACTTTTCGCTCGGTGCCCCCGTGCAAGCCTCCGGATTTGAAGACAAAATTTCAAAGGCCGAACGGGTACGTATCAATTTACAGTCTTTGAAAGCTTCTCCCCGCTCCTTTTCAGTTAGGCGTCCACGGTGCCGCCGCCAAATACCGACACCAAGTGCGGTCGAAACAACGCGACAAACGGACGGCCTACTAGCATTTCCTATTGTATTTTTCAATGATATTTTTCGTGGTTTCTATGGCCTTTCAACTATCGCCTTGCTCGCTCGCTTTCATTCCTGAACGGGGGGTTTCTTTCAAAGTACCCTACTTTCTTGTTCAAAAAAAAACTCGGTGGATCCGATCGTTGCTCGCCACAACTACCTACTAGTCTCGCTAGGCTTTTGTTTTTGCATTGATTCAGGTCACTTGGCGTCATAGTATTTCATTCGACTACAAAGTTTTATATCATGGCCGTTTTAAGAATTAATAAATTTCTTTCGAAATTTTCGTCAAAAATACAAGACTACAACAAAGGGTAAAATTTTTCTTTAGGCTCCAATTTTTAAAGTAAAAAATAGAGCAAGTTATTAAATTTGCCTTTCATCAAAGAAGGAAATTGCTGTTTCCACACGCCAAAACTATAAATTTTGTTTCAATAGTAGAAAAATCCCGTTGTCGAGCAAAAATTCCCGATTATCTGTTTATCACCGAGAATTCCAAATTTTGAACAAAGTTCTCTAGTTAGTTTCTGCTTGAAATATAGCTAAATTCGATTAAAAAACTTTTTAGATGATGATGAAAAAATTTACATCTGTGGGCTTGTAACAAAATCCCTTCCCCCCGATAATGTAAAAGAACCCAATTTATCTCAAGGTAAAACGCGCAAAAAAGACTATAAAAGAGTCGTCCGAATTTTGAAGGTCAAGGTCAGCGTCACGGGCCCTGGGGTGAAGCCGAGGGATGAGCAAAAGACGCGGGCACCGTCTTGAGCCCCTCGATACACGACCGGGGAGAGCGGTGTTTGTTTTGGTCGAGTTGTGCTTCTGTTGCCACTCTGGGTGGTGGATGCCTTGAGCGGCCGAATACTCGCCACACACACCCACACCTCATCGCCACAAATATATCTCTTTTTTTGCCAGGTTACGTGGAGCACTGCCTGTAAGTTCGTTTTTCGTTCCTTCTTAGCCTTTTAAAGGGATGCCGACGGCATAGTCAATCGGTTACGCGCTGGAAAGAAAATGTCTCTGCGCCTCTCCCCTGGGCGCGCTCTCTCCCCTGTTGGCTACTTGCCAATTTGTTGATGGGAGGGGATCGACACATGCCGTCGGCAGCCCTTTAAAGGGACGTGTCCGGCATAACTATGAATTTTTTGGGCACCACCTTCCCAAGGAATTTTTGCTGTGCCCGCTGCGTAGCGACACGCAACGCATGCGCGCTTGTATGCCCTAAATAACACCGTAATCACCAATTTAGGTATCTGAGCGTATTTTACGGATGAAATTGTGGTAGTGGAAAATTCGCGGGAAGTCCGACTTTTTTCGGCCCATGCCTAGTTTTCTAAAAACGAGCGGAAGCGCTTGCGGTTTTTTTTACTGTAGATGAGCTTCACAAATTTTGCATAAGATTTGTTTTTATGTGGAAAAATCAATTTCTTCTGACTTTTCAAGCATTCCTCTAATTTTTAATGAAGTTTTCTATCTTAAATACCAGATGGTTACAGTCGCTTCGCGACTGCAACCATCTGGGCTTCGGGCTACCCTACATGTCCCACTCTACCACATCCTTTCCCACCTCCATCAATACCCCCCATAGCCGAAATCCCGTTCAAAAACTACCTAGATACCTTCCTGATGGCTTCAGATACCCCCCATGGCTGAAATCCCCTTCAAAAACTACCTAGATACCTTCCTGATGGCTTCAGATACCCCCCATGGCTGAAATCCCCTTCAAAAACTACCTAAATACCTTCCTGATGGCTTCAGATACCCCCCATGGCTGAAATCCTTCAAAAACTACCTAGATACCTTCCTGATGGCTTCAGATACCCCCATGGCTGAAATCCCCTTCAAAACTACCTAAATACCTTCCTGATGGCTACAGATACCCCCCATGGCTGAAATCCCTTCAAAAACTACCTAAATACCTTCCTGATGGCTACAGATACCCCCATGGCTGAAATCCTTCAAAACTACCTAAATACCTTCCTGATGGCTACAGATACCCCCATGGCTGAAATCCCTTCAAAACTACCTAAATACCTTCCTGATGGCTTTAGATACCTCCCTAGCCAAAATCCCGTTTAAAAAACGAAAATAACGACCGACCGGATGGAATTAGAGAAAAAAAGAAATGAAATCCCCCGTGAAAATTTTCATCCACGAAACGCGCGCGACCTGGCTCACTATGTCCAAAATCAGCCCAACCTCCGTCCCCCACCCTTTTACTAAGGAGAAAACTTTCAAAGTTAATTTTAATAAGTTAAACTAAAACTTTTTCATAATTTTTTTATCAGTTTAGGGGTTTCTGAGGGCGCTCTATCCGAATCCGAAGAGAGCTAAGCTCTAGCTCCTTTCCCCTTCGAGTTGAATTCGGCTTCAGACACACGGACGGACGGACGTCTTAACTTTTTTATTATCTTAAATATACTTAAAATTTACTCAAAAATCATAAAAACTGTTTTCTATAAGCGGCTCGATTTGATCGAGCACGGCTCGATTTTTGGCGATCAGAGAGCGAGGAAACGACCTCGACGTCAATACGGATCATGCAAAGGGATCCCAGGCCCATCACCAATGCCATTTTTTTTGAGCTGGACGTCCCAGCGCTCTCTCCCTATACATTTTTAACCAGATGGTTACAGTCGCTTCGCGACTGCAACCATCTGGCCTTCGGGCTACCCTACATGTCCGACTCCACCACATCCTTTCCCACCTCCATCAATACCCCCGATAGCCGAAATCCCCTTTAAAAACTACCTAAATACCTTCCTGATGGCTTCAGATACCCCCCATGGCTGAAATTCCCTTCAAAAACTACCTAAATACCTTCCTGATGGCTTCAGATACCCCCCATGGCTGAAATCCCCTTCAAAAACTACCTAAATACCTTCCTGATGGCTTCAGCTACCCCCCATGGCTGAAATTCCCTTCAAAAACTACCTAAATACCTTCCTGATGGCTTCAGATACCCCCCATGGCTGAAATTCCCTTCAAAAACTACCTAAATACCTTCCTGATGGCTTCAGATACCCCCATGGCTGAAATTCCCTTCAAAACTACCTAAATACCTTCCTGATGGCTTCAGATACCCCCCATGGCTGAAATCCCCTTCAAAAACTACCTAAATACCTTCCTGATGGCTTCAGATACCCCCCATGGCTGAAATCCCCTTCAAAAACTACCTAAATACCTTCCTGATGGCTTCAGATACCCCCCATGGCTGAAATCCCCTTCAAAAACTACCTAAATACCTTCCTAATTAATTTAAATAAATAATTTAAATAATTAATTAACATAATTAAAAAGTATTAAAAAGTATTAAAGTAACTTAAAAAACGATCTGGGCGCGGGAAAGGGCCTGGGGAAGAGGGGCGAAGAGAAAAGGGGGCGTGGCCTCCCGGGAGAGGGGCCCCCACTCGTTTTATTAAGGTGCCACTTTCAAAGTTAATTTTAATAATTTAAACGAAAACTTTTTTGTAATTTTTTTATCAGTTTGGGGGTTTCTGACCACGCTCTATCCGAATCCGAAGAGAGCTAAGCTCTAGCTCCTTTCCCCTTCGAGTTGAATTCGGCTTCACACAGACAGACAGACGGAGACCACAGCAAAATTATTATAGTTGATAGCATTGCCTCTGCAGGTACGATTTATTCACTTTTAGAAATGGTTGAACACCGATAATTATTCCGCGGGACTTTCAAATCGTGATTTTGCTGTCCTCCGTCAATTCCTTGAAGTCCACATTGTTTCAGGCGATGCGCAATGCCTTCCTCTTGCTCCTAGCCGCAATATTTCACGCCAGCGCCAGCTATCGAATCCTGATTTATGGCACGACCATCGGCTACTCGCACGTTCGCTTTCACGCGAAACTCGCAGATGTCCTCGTCGATGCCGGCCACACTGTGGTTAGTTGATTTTTACCCTGCTGTTCAAAAAAAAATAAAAGAAGTGTTTCGACGCTGTTTTTTTACTATTACTAAAGGCAAAAACTTGACAAAATTAGCATTGAAACACACGAAAAATATCGGTTTTGGCCCAATTTCGACCGAATTTCTAAATTTTCGTGGTTTTTGCTAGTTTTCCACTTGAGATTTTGTTAATTTTGTCGAAAATTAAAATTATAAAAAGGATTTTCAATTAAAATACTAGTAAAATCGGAAAATAGTAACTCTAAAAAAAGAAATTAGATATCAAGCGCCGGGATAAAGCCCTAATTTCAGGTGATTCTCCTCTCCGAGTTGAATCCAAACATTAAACTCGGCGACACCAAGGCGGAGGTGATCACGGTGCCAGCTTCGGAAGAAACGACAGCTATTCAGGTTTTGAATAGTAAATCGATTCTAGCAATTTTAATTTTTCTTTTATAGGCAGCCGGTGAGAAGGGGACCCTCGTTGGCTTCTGGACCTCAGATATCAATGACCTATCCGGGACGTTGCCGGTTTGAAAGCTTTTTCTTACAACTAGAAAAAGTTTAGATGTTCCAAGAGATCTCAAATATGGCCACCACGCAATGTACAAGTAGGTTTTACAAAGATGGTCTCGGTTTTGTATAGTTTTAGATAGATGTGTCGCCTTTTTCAGAAAATGTCCATTTTTTAGAGACCCTGGCATTTGCCGGTTTGTTGGAGAGGTTGCAGCACTACAAATTCGACGTGGCCCTCTCGGAGACGTGGGATTTGTGTGGATTTGGTTGGTCAAATTAGGCAAAAATTTTCAAGTTTTCAAGGCACTTTTAATTTCGACAAAGTGTTTTTTGATAAAATGAAAATCGCCGATTTTTCCCATGCTCAGTAAACGTCAAATTTTGAAATATTTGAGACCAAAAAGTTCATAAAAATTACTAAAGGTCAAAACAAATTTGCTTTTGCGTCAAAATTGGGAGAAAAATATTTTTTTAACACGTTTTTCTACCTTTTTGGTCAACGATATCTGTAAAAAAACTTTAAAAATAGGCTGGTATATTAGTTATATCCAACAGAAGTTAGGCTGAATAA